GAATTTTGGGCTGTAAAAGGAGTAAGACAGGGATGTCCAATTAGCGCGACATTATTTAACATATATATTTCAGACATAGAAGAAGAGATGAAGAAAAATCCTGGGGGTGTGAAGATCGGAAAGGAAAAGATATGGTCACTAGAATATGCAGATGACATAGTGCTTGTTGCTGAAAATGAAGATATGATGAATATAATAATAAAGGTGTTCTACAGGTATATAAAAAGAAAGAAACTAGAGCTAAGTACAGAAAAATAAAAAATAATTGTATTTAAGAAGGGAAGCGGCAAAGAAAGAAAGAGAGAATGGTGGTGGGGAGATAGAAGAATTGAAGAGACAAAAGAAATCAATTACTTAAGGTATAAAATATGCAGAAACAACAATGACGAGATGCACATAAAAGATAGAATAAGGAAAGGAAAAATTGCGATGGCATGGATATGGAGTTATGGAGAAAGAAAGTTTAACGCGGATATAATATGGAGAATGAAATTGTTCGATAGAATTATAAAACCAATAATGTTGTATGGAGTAGAGATATGGGGATATAGAAAAAGGAAGGAAATAGAGGTAGTGCAAGAGAGATACATAAGGTGGATTTTAGGTTTACAAAGAACTACCCCGGGGTATGTGGTGAGAGAAGAAATGAAAAGAGCGAAGATAAGAATTGTAGCGGGGATGCCGAGCGGCAAAATATGAAGAAAAGATGAGAAACGATAACGGAAATGTAATTCTAAAAGAATGCTGGAAGGAAAGAAAACAGGAAGAAAGCAGAGAAGATACAAAATTGGTCGACAGAAAGTAAAGAGAGAAGAGAGTACATACAGAGATGTGGCATGAGTGAGGAAGAACTGATAAGGATAAAAAGATGAAGGCATTGAATGCATGGTGTCAAGAGACAGAGAAGTGGATATGCAGGAGAGAGCGGAAAAAATCGAAAACTCAAAAGCATGTAAGGATTATAAAGATGTCAAAATAGGATGGCTGCCTAGATATATCATAGATGGGGTCAGAAAAGGGAAGGAAAAGATAAGCCTAATAGCGAGAATGAGGTGTGGAAATGAGATAAGAGGGAATATGTATTGGATGAATGAGGAATGGAGAAAATGTAGACTATGCGGGAAAGGAAACGAAGATTTGCGACATGTAAGTACGAGATGTGAAAAAGTAGAGAGTTGGAAGGGAAGAATGGATGATATGCTGAGTGACGATGGAGCAGGGTATGGATGGATGAAAGGTTTAAAAGAGATAAGATTAGAAATGGAGAAAGAAAAGAGTAAATAGTTTAAATGTAAAATTCACAATATATGTATTGTTCAAATAGTTTATAAACAGGATCGTAACAGCAATATGTAAAACCGGAAACAAGATTTGACAAATGTATAGATGTGTAAAGTCTGGCAGGCTAAACTGCTATGTAAGCATCAGAAGGTGAAGCATTAATAAATACTACTACATTTTAAATATGATACTAATAAATAGTTTATATAAGGCAAATTATCATAATATTTAATGAATACCTTTCAGTAATAAATTCCTTGTAGATTTAAATGAGATTCAGTAGCATTATTTACATAAAAATGCTTATTAGCATCAATATATTGAATTAATTATTAATGTTAATGATAAAATATTAATAATAATCTGAAATAAATGTTGTTAGACATAAGATCCGCTGAAAATCGTTTTTATCGTTATAAATAACGATGGAAACGATTATCAACGGATCTCGTGCCTAATAACATTTATTTCAGATTATTAATATGTATATATGGGACGTTCCACGTCAACCGGGTCAGTGCTGCGGCCAAAATTTAAAGCGACGAAAAAATACGTTTGAGGTTTCAATTTAAAGCTTGAACAAAGAGCTACAAAAAGCCATATGCGCCTTAGCAAAAATCAAGATGGCGACGTCAATATGGTGGCCATAAACTCAAAATTTTTGATCAATCAACCGGCTCAGTGCTGCCGCCAAAATGTTCAGCGACAAATAAATTCGTATAAGCGCTTATTTTGAAGCTCGAACTGAAAACTTTTAAAAGCCGTATGCACATTTGCAAAAATCAAGATGCCGGGTCCAAGATGGCCGACTTTTCGTCAAAATTTGATGTCAATGCCTTTAAAAACACCAGATTTGTTTGAAAATAGATCGACAGGGATTTTTAAGGTCACTTCTTTCAAATCTGGTGTGACAGGTTCCAAATTACAAAATGGCGGATCCAAGATGGCCGACTTTTCGTCAAAATTCGATGTAAAAGCCTTAAAAAACACCAGATTTGTTTGAAAATGGATCGACAAAGATTTTTAAAGTTGCTTCTCTCAAATCAGGTGTGATAGGTTCTAAATCACAAAATGGCGGATCAAATATGGCCGAGTTTTCGTCAAAATTCGATGTAAAAGCCTTAAAAAACACCGGATTTGTTTGAAAATGGATCGACAGGGATTTTTAAGGTCACTTTTTCAAATCTGGTGTGATAGGTTTCAAATCACAAAATGGCGGATCCAAGATGGCCGACTTTTCGTCAAAACCCAATGTAAAAGCCTTAAAAAACACCGAATTTGTTTGAAAATGGATCGACAAGGATTTTTAAAGTCACTTCTCTCAAATCTGGTGTGATAAGTTGCAATTCACGTAATGGCGATCCAAGATGGCCGACTTTTCGTCAAAATTCGATGTAAAAGCCTTAAAAAACACCGGATTTGTTTGAAAATGGATTGACAGGGATTTTTAAGGTCACTTCTCTCAAATCTGGTGTGATAGGTTGCAATTCACGTAATGGCGATCCAATATGGCCGAATTGTGACTAAAATTTGTATCAATTGCCTCTAAAAACACCGGATCTTGTTGCAAAAACTGTTTTCAAATTATTGGCAACATTAGCTCTAATGAAAAAAATGAATTCTTATTCTCAAATGCTTATTCTTACAGGCAATTAATACGAATTTTGATAAGTCCGCCATCTTGAATTCGTCATTTTGCGATTAGATTTTGTCATACTAGAATCGTAAAAAGCCATATTAGAAACCTCCATAAATCCTTTTGCAACAAGATCCAGTGTTTTTAGAGGCAATTGATACAAATTTTAGTCATAAGTCGGCCATCTTGGATCGCCATTACGTGAATTGCAACCTATCACCACAGTATATACAGTAGCGCAACTCTCCTGATTTCTTGTTGTCCAAAATGGAGTGCGCATGCGCGAAATAAGTAAGCGCCCACTAACCCCATCTGAACGTCGTTCTCTGAACTTCTTTCTCAATTGCTCTTCCTTTCTCCGTTCTGCTCCGCTCCCTCTTAGAATTTAAATGGTCAATTAAATAAATGCCTATCTGTATTGGAGCAGAAATTTGGAGGGAATTAGCTCAATTAGTCACTGAATGCTATTGAGAGCTGTTAGAAGTGTTTGACAAACTCTGAATACGTTTATGTGATTAAAGTGAAAAGAGTTTACAAAGTATAAAGACAGTGAAAGAATGAAGTGAAGAAAAGTGAAGAAAGTGATAAAAGTGAAATAAGTGATATAAGTGATAAAAGCGAAGGAAACATAAAAGAGAAATTTTTTTTCTAAGGAAATAGTTAACCTATATAAATATTATATAAGTTTTCAATTCTCTTGGAAGCACTTTGATCTTAGCTTTGTTTCAGGTGTTGCTGCATAATAATTAAAAATGAATGCGATAAGAAAGCCAAGCTGTGCAGTACCAGAATGCGTTAAGAAGTTTATTAATGTGCAACGACATTTTTTTAAATTTCCAAAGGAACAAGACAGGTATAACACATTGCTTTATATAATATTATTAAAAACAAAATAAGAAGCTTCCTTCGCCAGTAAATAAATACAAAACAAAAGTCGTTTTTGTTCGACTCGACTGGCCAAATAATAAATATATTTAAATTTCACAACGTTTCAACCGCATTTTCGGTCCTTCTCAAGTGATTCATCAAGCTATGCATCCTCAAAAACCGCGTACAAAATATCGATTACGTCGCTGACATCGTGCCCTAACCACATCATGCACACGTAAAGCTAAAAAAGTGAAATAAACTCACGATAGTCAAAAAGATAAAAACGCTCAGAAGTCATAAAATAAAAAGTAAGAATACAATTAAATTAAATAGTAGAGTTAAAAATAGTTAAGTTATAAATAGTTAAGTTATAAATAATGTACAAAGTAAAAAGTAAGGCTTACATATTCTGTGCGTCAAAACGGAAAGTGAGAACGGTAGCGCAGAACGAAGAAACGTCGCAAGCCATAGCTGCGAACACATCAGTACAGCGTGACAGACGAAGTCATACTAAATGACTGATACATAACAAATAAATAGATGTGTTCACAAGTGGAAACGAGCAGAACAAAAGTGTAAATTAAGTGACGCCAATCAAACGGTTGTAATTCGCGGGCAGACTTTCTGTGTCCTTTTGAAGATTGATTGCGCTATCACATTTTTTAATAAAAAACATCTCAGAGATTTCACGTTTCTTAAAGTGTCGCTCCTTATATAAAATTTTTGGTTGTTGCCAATTGAAATCGTGGTTATGCGTGAGACGGTGCTTACTAACTACAGAATGATTATCGCTGTTCTTCCTAATATCACAAAAATGTTCCTTAACCCGTGTCTCTAGGTGCCTTTTTGTTTGACCAATATATGCAGCGTTGCAATTAGCACAATCAATCTCATATATCAACTCCGTTTGCTTAAGATTCGGTAGCGTATCCTTCCCCCTTTTTATAATGCAATCCAATCTTTTCGGAATGGTGAGGAGAACCCTGAATTCTGCATCGCGCATTGTACGGCCAACACCGTCACTAAGGCCCTTAATATACGGTATAGTAATAAACTTTCGAGGATCATGGGCTACATTGTTACTGCTAGATCTATTATTATTATTATGACGTGTCTGTAGCTCGTTAAGTCTGATGTTAATGTACTTGTTAATTAATTTTATTGGATAACAATTATTAGAAAGAATCTTTTTTATTTCGATTAAATTAGACTTATGAAAACGTACGTCAGATAAAAGAATAGCTCGGTCAACAAGATTACGTATAGTATTAATTTTGTATTTGAGAGGGTGATTCGAAAAATAGTTTATGTATCGCCCCGAAAAGGTCGGCTTTCGGTACCAATTCGTAAGCAACACAGTCCCCTCTCGAATCACTATTGTGTCAAGAAAACTAAGAGAATTATTCTTTTCTATTTCAAATGTAAATTTTAATCTGGTGTGATAACTATTGAAAACTCTAAGTAACTCGTCAATAGCAGATCTAGGAACAATCGCGAAAATGTCATCAACATATCTTTTAAAAAAGGAAATATGAAAACTAAGCAATTGCAAACAATGCGTCTCAAGGTCCTCCATGACCATATCCGCCAAAATCGGAGAGAGAGGGGAACCCATCGGATAATATTATTATTTTTTATATAAATTATATTTTTAATTGTAATGTGTGCATTACTTTGTCATTGGTAAAATGGTACAACATTTACAGATGGCTGCAATGGGTACGAGCATGTGGAAGACTGGATCTAGAACTTAAAGGTCCAGAATATGCCCACCAGAATTGTCGTTTGTGCCATTTGCATTTTGAAAACAAATGGTACAAAATTAATAAAGTTAGGGCTCGTCTTCACCCAGATGCTGTACCCACTATATTTTTTGGACCAAGTTTTCAACAACAGTGAGTTTTTACTAACAAATAATTATTAATTTTACATATTTTAATTTAATTAAATTAGTTTTGTTTCATAAAAAAGTATAAAATTGAATAATACTAGTATAAGGTAGTAGTACATAAAAAATAATAATAGCAACAATATCTAACAGTATTTACATTATTTTTTATGTATTACGCGAAAGTAACATAAAAACATAAAATACTTAAAATCTTTTAGGGACAACACAGCACCCGAACAAACAACACAACAAAGTGAGGAAAATGTGGTTAAAGAGAAAGTAGATAGGTATGCTAAATATAAATTTTCTATTTGTTATAATATTATATTTTATAATAGATATTATATGATACATATTTTTTGTTGCAGAAATACATGTGCTGAGGCAATTGTTGCAGAAATGCAAGTGCAAGAAGATAATAGGTAATTTATATTAATAAAGGACTTGTTTACGTTTATTAACCCTCAGTTACCTCACCTGGGTCTGAGAGACCCTGCACATTGTTAAAACAGGGTTTTTAAGACATTCATAAAACTCTTGTATCTTTTTTTAGTCAGTACTACATCAATTTGAAAAAAAGCAAATTTTTTCGTTTTTTTAGAAAAACACGTCTTCCCTTTTTTTAAAATAACATTTACATTTTTTAACTTGGAATAATATAACTTGCACAGTCTTGTAGATCTTTAAAAGACGCATGGATTAAAAAAAAAGACTTCAAATTGATGCATTTGTCTTGAAGATACAAGCTGGAGAAAATGGCAGGGGTCTCTCAGACCTTGGTGAGGTAATATCGGGGTGTAAAAACGTAAGGTAACTGAGGGTTAACAATAATGGCTAAAAGAAAAAAAATTGTATATTTTCAGCAAAGCAGAAACTTCACAAACAATCGTCCCAATTATTGTCAGTGACGTAGAAATAACTCAACCGTAAGTTTTTCTTTACTAATTTAAAGTTAAACATGTATTTTTATTTTCTTTATTTGTTATGTAATAAAAGTTTTCTTATAAAATATAATTGTCAGGATATATGTAATTTATTTATTAACATATTATATTTAAATTTTTTTTAACTTTAGATTTTATTTAATATTATTTTGCTGTTTTTGTCTCTTACAGCAAAATAGTTACATAATTACATATATCATATTTAAAAATAATCTTTGTGCTATGATCTAACGTTTGGAATATATTATAGGAGCACATCCACTAGCAAGAAGCCTGCAGTTAGGACTAAATCGTCCAATGATAGCCCGAGAAAAAAGAAATTGCGAGAGAAATTCCAAAAATTAAAGGCGCAAGATAAAGTAATGCGTGAAACAATCCGACGGCTTCGTATGGAAAAGAAGAAGAAAGCTACAAAAGTTGAAGAAGAAAACAAATTCGATCAACTAATAAAACTAGGCCGTAAGTTATTACCGGAAAAATTTAATAGAATATTAGCGGCACAAGTCGACGCACAATTAAAATGTAAACGTGGCAGAAGATATGATCCCGAATTTAAGAAATTTGCTTTATCATTATTTTTTTTAAGTCCACGAATGTACCGGGAATTGAAAGATTCAATTGCATTGCCTTCTGTACGTTCTCTACAATTATTTACGCAAAAATGAAATATTGAGCTTGGTATAAATGATAAAATTTTTGAAGCACTTAAATTAAAATTGAATACGTTGCCTCTCGTAGAACGTCATTGCATAATATGTGCAGACGAAATGAGTTTAAAAGCTCATTTATTTTATAATATATCACGGGATGAAATAATTGGTTTCGAAGACATTGGTGATAAAAAATCATCTAAACCTGCAAGAAGCGCTTTAGTTATTATGGCACGTAGTATTGCAGGTAATTGGAAGGTGCCTATTGTTTTTTGTTTTGTAGAGACTACATGCCATATGAACTTTTTAAAAAATCTGATATTTGATACAATAATTAAATTAAGAAATACAGGTGCTATGGTGCATGCATTGGTTACGGACATGGGTTCTAATTTTATACAACTGTCCCGTGATTTAGGAATATCTACACAAAATTCAAATTTTTCAGTTAACGGAGAAAATTTAGTTTACATTTTTGACACTCCACATTTAATAATAGCAATCCGAAATAATTTGTTAAAACATAATTTTGAATTTAATAATAAAGTAGCTTCGTGGGATCATATTAGACAGTTTTATATGCAAGACGTCAAACAATGGATAAGAGCAGCTCCTAAATTATCAAAAATTCATATGGACCCAAATAACTTTATGAGAATGAAAGTTAAATATGCCGTACAAGTACTTAGTAACCATGTATGTGCAGGAATGTGTACACAGACGTCTGTCGGTCTTCTTCCGACTGAAGTCGTTGGAACTATAGATTTAATTGATCATTTTGATAAGTTGTTTGATATGTTAAATTCGTCCGCCGTAAATAATCCTAAAGAACATGGAAAAGTTTTTACCGGAAGTGAAAAACAAATGCAGTTTTTGCAAGAAATGTCAGATCTTATAAAAAGTATTAAAGTAGTTAATAATAATAATAATAATGGTAAATATGTAAAAGTTAAATGCTTTGAATGCTGGCAGATAACAATTAATAGCATCATTCAGCTTTGGGAAACATTAAAAAATCATAATTTTCCATATTTCCGAACACGTAGATTGAATCAAGATTGTGTCGAAAATTTTTTTGGT